GGTTCCTTCCACAATCTGGAATTTCACTTCCTGACAAGAAGAAGAGAGTGAGACATACTGAGTCAGATCCCAGCTCCACTACTCATTAGACACATAGTTTGGGGCAAATTTTGCAGCTTTTCCTCCTCACCTATAAAGTGGGGACAGTAATACTTACCTTAGGAGGCTATTAGGAGAATTTGATGAGATTGCAGGTGCTATTTATTTTATTTTAAAGTGTCTTGCACAGTAGCTCACACATAACACACCATCAGTCAGTGTGAGCTCCCTCCACCCATTTGCCCTCTCCTCCCCCCTTTGAAAGACAATTTTTGGCCAGGGAATGAGAGGCCAGGCCATGTGGAGATGGGTGGTAAAGCTGTTGAGTGACTAACATGTTCCACTAGAGCTCTGAGTATCCTCACTGAATCAGTGGCACCAGTTTTATTTTCAGAGACAACAGAAATCTGATCAATTTCTGTCACCACTTTCAAGATGGTTCTCCATAACCAAATCTAACCAAAATTATTTTGTCACCTGGACAATATTCAGCATTATGACATTGAAAATGCTTCAAATAAATTAATAAATACAACATTAATGAATGAATACAAAACGAATGAATGAATGAATGAATGAATGAATGAATGAACGAACCAACGAATACCAAAGCAAAAATTAAACAAACTGGGGAGAGACCATTTTCGGGTTGTAACACCACTGTTACCTTGGCAATCCAGTTCTTGGATTAGAAGCTCTACAAAGTCAGTGCTGATTCCTTCCTCCTCCCTAATGTCCATATCCCCAAAACAACAGTGCTGAGATCAGAAGCCAAGAGCAAAGACTGGCAAAATCAGCAGGTGTCCATACTGGGTACCAGCCATTTTGGAGCAGATAAAGTCATTAAGGAAAATTTTAACAATGTATAACCTTTCAGTTTTACTCTGCTCACAGCAAGTGGTTTGTCTTTCAGAGACAAGAGCCTGCCTTGAAGTCGCCAGTGAGCAGGACTTGACCTTCATTTTTCGGCATATGCAGCATTAAATATTCATAATCCACGTAACCAAAGCATAAGAAGTAGCAGTGTTCAAACATGAATCAAAGGAATGAAAATCTGCACATGTGTGAGTCATTCTTTCCCAGAATGCCTCTGGGAAAAAATGCAGATACCCAGAGCTCTGAGCTGCTGTCTCTTCCAACTTTCTCTTGAAATTCTGGAAATAACAGGACCATTGCATTATGCAACCCATGAATCCTGCTCTCATGCTGATATCCACAGGTCTTTCTTTTCTTCCCTCCATCCCTTATCTATTAAATAAGAATTAATATTCTTGTCTCAAAGGGAACCAGCAACAGTGACTGACATTAGCATTCATAGGCCATCAAAGGAAACTCTCGACTTGGTTGTATAACTTAAAAAAAAAAAAAAACCTTTCCTATTTGGGAAAGGTCTCAGGCATTGGGAGACATCAGAATAGGGAGCTAGGGGAGCTACAGATGTAGCTCAGTGGTAGAGTGCTTGTCTAGCACGCTCAAAGCCCTGAATTCAATTGTCAGTTAAAAAAAAAAAAAGAATCAGGAGCTGAAGTGAAAACATGGGGCATAAATTGTGTAAGAAGCCTTTTTAAAAGAATAAAAATGTTCCCCTTGGATGGCTAATCAGAAGAGATATTTGGGAGGGGTGAATATCATGAGCTTCATGCAATTATGAAGGCACTGACATTTATGTCTTTCCAAAGACTTGCAAGATCACCTCCCTCTGCTTGGGTCTTTCCAGAGAGTCTACCACTGGGATGATGAAGCGTACTTTTAACACAGTTTAATATAATTCTCCTTGGCTTTCAACTCTAGATGCTCAAAGGCACTCTATCTCAGCTAAATAGTAACCACTGGAGGCCACAAGAATGATCTTCCCTGGTGATCCTTCCAGGAAAATTAAGACCCAAAGAACTGCTTCTCGAACCCTTGAATGAAAAAGACCAACTCAGAGATCTATCTATCCTGGCCTAATAACTCAAAAGAAAGATGCCTAGGAAAAGATGGTTTTATGAACAACCTATCTTCTAATCCTTAATAGTAAAATGCACTTTGAAAGGTTAAAAAGATCATAAAGCTGCTAATTAGACATTTATCTGAACTCCCTTATCTATCTGCTGATGCTCAGAGGTAGATTAAACCACTTGGCTGGTGTGTCCGAAGTATAATTGGACATGGCTTACTCTGAGACTAAGCTGGCAGAGTCGACCATCAGAGCCTTCTTTATATATTTACCTGCTTTCTTTGCACATCTCAAAAGACAAGGTGCAGAGCCTCAGATCTTGAACTTGTACTGTTCCTAATTGTTTTAGTGGGGCTAGGTCTGGTTAAAATACAGTGAGACAAGCCATTTCATGGACAATGTCAGTCTAATTAATTAGGCTCACTCCAGATTTATTTATTTCAAGGGAGTAAATGCTAACTAAAATTCATCTCAAGAATATTAGGTACTTTTTTCCAAGGTGATGACTCAGAATAATTTCCGAGAGAAGTTCTAAGCTACTTTGCAAGATGTCCAGAAGGCCAGCCAAACCATGACTGTTCAGTTAGTAATAGTTTTGAATGAAAAGGATAGACTTTAAGAATGTCTATTCTATTTTCTTAACCTCTTTCCATTTGCATCTTGCTTGTATGTGGACAAACTTTCATTTTGTCTTGTTCACTAAGCTTGATTGTGGTTTGTTCAATAGGTTTCATTTCGTTTTATTCCTGGGAATTCATTGGCTTATCATAAAGGTTAACTTTATAGATTCTACTCTAATGTTCCCCTTGCTTAAGCTGAGCTTACTTTCTGACTCTCCCCAAGAAGATGAAAGACTCTCTTGTGCTGATAGATGACGGGGTCTCTCATGGGTCAAAATCTTGGAATATGGTCTTAGGACCAAAAGAAGTCAGGTGAATGAAAAGTAGATTGGGCTACACAAAGAGCCACAAAGTCTTTTTTTTTTTTTTTAATAAACAAAGTCTTGCTAGGATAAACTGCACAGTTTAATGATACAGAAGAGAGATGGGCTAAAGCTAGGATGAGGCCAGGGCAGTCTCCAAGGACAGTCTCATCTCTAAGACCAGTTTTGGTAGAGACTCCTTGCAAGTCCATCAAAGAATCAGAGAGGGATTCCAATGCCAGCTTCCACAAGGCTCTGCAGTGTCAGAATTAATTCCAAAGGACATGGAGGCAGGAAGAGCATTTAGGAGAAAGGGTCTGCCTTGGGGAATTTCATCCATTTCTATCTTCTTCCATGCAGATGAGAACACCAGACCCAGAGAGCCAAAGACTGTCTCCTAGTAGACGCTAGAAAAAAAGGACACCATCCAGATCCATCCAACAAAGAGCATTTTATTTCCAAGTATTACAGAGGAGTAAAAAGGGAGGGAAGGTGCAGCTGAGGTATCTGTCCTTCCAACAGGGCACCACACTCACCTTTACGTAAGGTGTGCTCTCTCTTTCCCCAGCAGGGGACCCACAACCTATGAGAACACCCCTGGGAGAGATGGGAGAAATAAGACCAAGGGATTTAGAACTCCAGTTGAATTCCAATAGGGTCCAGAAACACTAAATGTAAATATTCAAAGAGGGCTTACCTTCCATGACATGCCAATTGGAATCTTCCAAATTTAAAAACATGCTTCCATTCTTGGCTAGCGATTTTTGATGAAACAAGTATGCAATCTCATCCCCTGAGGATTGTAAAAGTTCCCTCCATTCAAGAGAGTGAGGGAAGCAGGTCTTGGATGTAAGGATTGGCTGAGGCACTCAACAGTCTTAGTCGTGGCTGACTCCCAGGGACAGGTGATCAGAGGAGATGTCTTCTTTATTTTCCCTAACATGACTTTTTGGCCTCTGCACCCCAATGCACAAAAATCATCTGGCTGGTGACCAGAATGCTCTGAGACATTTAGAGTTTAGGTGTGCATGAAATCACCACCAACCAGAGTCTCAGAAAAAATGAGCACGGAGCTCAGTATTCAGGCAGAGCAAGTCCAAACCAACAGACAAAAGAGGCAGGTTTCCTAGAATCAAAGTCTAGTTTCCAACAGCATGAGGAATGGAGTTAAAAGTGTTAAAAGCACTCTCACCACAGATAGCGAGGGCAAGAGAAGCTCAAGGTCACTGTCCCTTGGCCAGAGTCATCAAATTCCCATTGCAACAGAAAAACAAGACTGATTCCGTCTCTGCTCACTTCTCAGTTTCGATGGATGACGGCACTAGAAAAACTGGAACAAATGATGCATCCAGGGGACCAGAGAGGGTGTAGCGGTCACCTGGCAGCTCCAGCAGGTGCTCTCTTCAGCCTCTGGAGGGTGCTCGCCATCTGGGACCCAGGTCACCCTGGAGCACCAGTTCCCTCAGTAGGTACCCAGAGGTATGCAAGAGTGTCCCCTGCAGGAGTTCTCAGATAGCCCTGGTCACCTCCACTTCCAGGAGTCATCTTGAATCCCTTTGTCCCACGTCCCTTACTTTCACAATTCAAGAAGCATCAGCATATGATGCTTCAGCTAAATGTTGGGTTGGCTGGTGAAAGAATAACACCTTGCTTTCTAATCTGCCCTCCAACAGGATCAAAGCACGGGAAACCCAAATGAGAAAAGGCTCCTACAACCATGCAAGAATAGCTTCAGATGCTATGGAACTGTCACCCTCCCAGAGGTTGCAATTGCCCATCAAAGCCCTCTTAACTTCTTGACATCTTCAGCACAAATACTTTATGAGGAAATAGCTATTTAAAATAAATAATACCCAGCAAGAAGGCTTGACCCCATGGGAGGCCCCTCCCTCCCATGCCAGCTGAATCCAGGCAGCCTTCCTCTGAGAGCTTTCTTTCCCACTCAGGAAATAGCACAGAAGAGCCCTGCCTTCCTCCAAACATCTTCTGCACTCGGGAGGTTCTTGCAGGGGTTGGTGTTAAGGGAAATAAATTCATCAGTGTACAGGGTCATGGTTGTTTTAGAAAGAGAGGGCAGGAACAACGTATTTGAATACTCACTTTGACGAATCTATGAAGTATATCACAAGTGCACCAATGCTGAGAGCAAAGACCAACACAACCTGCAAAGAAGAGGAAAATGCCATCACTTTATAGCCAGACATCAGGCTGTTTATTTATCTTTATTTTTTTGACACTTGCAGCAGCAACTGAAACATGGTGCCAACTGCCTTCAGGAACCTGGTTGGAATTGCGTGCCCTTACTGCCCCCACAGGCCATCTGATGTCACCTTCTCATCTGGCAGTGGGCAGCACCCTTGTTCCTTGCCAATAGGGGTCAAGGCAGACTTTTACCTCTCCGGGCACTGGGATTTTTATCTGGTCCTGTTATCTGAAGGTCTAGCTTCTCTGTGACTGAAATCAATACACTTCAGGGGGAAAAGAGCAGGTAAAGATCTGAGGTGATAAGATTTGTTGTGTTATATGTGACTTAGAATCTAAAGAGACCCCAATACAGAATATCAATTTTTAACAGCTTTGTTGAGGTATAATCTACATGCCACAATATTCACCCATTTTAAGCATTCAATTCAGCAATGGCTTTTAGTAAATTTACCATGTTGTGTGACCATCACCATAATCCACTTTCAGAACATCTTCATTATCCCAATAAGATCCTTTGTGCCCGTTAAATTAATCCCTGTTCCCATCTCCTGGCCTCAGACAACCACTAATCTGCTTTCTGTCTCCACACAAGAAAGATCCATTTGAAAAGCACAGATTTGCATGTACAAATATCCATATGGGCATGTGCACACAGACAGAGCTGTATGAACATTCACCGTGTATACACTACAGGTATGTAGTTATAACACTTCTCAAGTACTTAGGAAGCAGTTTAGGTATAGAAAGCCAAGTTAGTTAATACATTCATCCAGTTAAATGACAATCTTCATCCTTCTTTACACATCTCACTCAAAATTAATCACCCTTGATATAAAAGACAGTTTTGGCATCTCCCTCAAACCTGTCATGCCAAAGTCTATCATGTGAATACGTAGCGGATTAGACTGATACTGACACTTCAGTCTTCACTCAACATTCCAATGTGTTTATTTAATCTTTCACAGAGGAGGCAATTAAAGCATATAAAGGACAGGTCAAGAATAAAAAAAGAGGCCAAGGGCCAACAATTGAGCCTGAGACAAAAAGTAAACACCATCACCAGCACACACAATTCCCACCTGCCAGTCAACAGATGCCTTTTAGATATGCTAATATCCTAAGTAGAAGCAGGCTGAAGGGCCTTAGAAGTGGAGGTCTCCTGGGACCACCCCTATAAGGACATCTGCTGGCACTGGCTGATGAACAGAGATGAATCTCAATTCATGGAAAGACTAGCCATGATCAAGCTCTTTGTGCGCATGTGTGTGTGTGTGTGTGTGTGTGCATGTGTATATAAGAAAGAAAATCACACATAACCTGCATTTTGTGTGTATACCAAAGTTGGCCAGTGATGGAAAATGAAATCTGCATGAGATTCTCATTTGAACTGCTGCAAACCTACAAGGAACTCCTGGGGAGGACTGCTGGTCTCTACACACTATGAAAAACGACAAAATAACTGAACACTGCGAAGGTAACATGCAGCTTCATAGCAACTGCTAAAATTTCCTTATGAAAGAAAGTGTTAAAAACAATACACCACCGGGTTTATTTTATTCTTCCATTTTGTTTTGAAAACCAAAACATGCTCCATTGAATCCAAGCAAACTCTCTCAGTAATTACCAGCTACCCAGCAGAATCTCTCTGGGCTGGCCTTTCTCCCTCTTCCCCCTCACACGCATTCATTCATATATTCCTTGCAAAGGTAAATGTGAAAATAAAACATACACAGGCCTCCGCTTGATCCTCTATTATCTGAAGGAGGCAGCAAAATATAAGCTGAAGATTAATTTGGAGCTGCATTGCTATTTCTGTGACATAAGCACTTAGATCCTGGCCCTGACCTCATTCTCAAAAAGCTGCAAAGGGAAGGGGTGTGGCCAAAACAAGGGGGGAAAGGCCTTTTCATTCATAAACACTGGATCCCAGACTAATCCCTGTTGATCTGGTTCCCTGTGTGTCCCTGAATACTGAGCTTCTGTCAGAGCTAGCTAGATGGTCCTAAGCCACTAAAAGCCATAGTTGCAGGAAAGGAAAGCAAAAGTCCTTGCAGATGGCATCTACATAGTTCTATAAGGAATTAAAATCTAACCCTTCTGCAATAGCTCTTTCCCAGCATCAGGATGGCCAAAGTAACTAGTGCCTACCAGCTGCCTCCATGTGGTATCCATGATGGGAATTAACGTGTTGCTTATTTAAGCAAATCAGACAGTGACAAGGGGGTGGGGATCCTGCTGCTCTCAAGTATCAGCATCTCTGAGAGAAAGAGAGAGAGAGAGAGAGAGAGAGAGAGAAAGCGCAGGAAAAAAACACGGGATGGAAATGACCTCCATAGCTCCAAGGCACTGAACCTTCTTTCTGTTTCATGGACTATGCCGGGGGCCATGTGTTCAGCCAGAAGGCTTGCTCTTGGTGAGGTCCAGGGAAGCCAAACTGTCCCACTCACCATGATCCATCAGCAGCTGTCTCCATGCAGGAACTGACCAATAAAGGTAAATGTGCATGGCATCTTGAAACTCTCTCAATACCTCTTGATCATGTCATTGATGACATTGTCAACCTGGATCCAGGTGCTGCAGGAAGACATTAACCCTTTGAATTTGTTCAGGAAAATAGAACCAGAAGAGACTGGACTTCCTTCCTCATGGCTTTAGCAAAGCCACCCAAAAGGTCTAGTTTATTCTTTCTCTCTCCCTTTAACAAATTCTCATTGTCTGAGACCCCTGTTGTAAATTAAAAGAAAGAAAGAGAGGAAATAAAGAATACAAAATGATTAAATCTTCTTCTAAATGATAATAATTATTTTATATAAAGCCTCCAAATAGTAAGTACTTATTTAACATATACTATGCATAGGTCCAGAGAAACAAAAGACTGAAGTCCACTTTGAGTTATAAAATGTACTCTTTACAGAGTAGTCCTTATACAGATAAATTCTATGCTATTACTCGATTATTGGTAAATGTTCAGTATAGGTATAGTCAATTTATAGTAAGATAGTAACTATATAGATCATTAATAAACCGAGTTGGAGAAGTATAAGTACTACAGGGGATCTTGTCTTGCTATCACTTCATGCTTCCTTTTTTTTTTTGGAACTGGGAATTGAACCAGATTAAGATTCAGTTCCTTCCTTCCCTCCTTTCTTTTGATTTTGAGACAATTTTTCTCTAAGTTGCCCAGGCTGACCTTGAACTTGCGACCCTCCTGCCTCAGCTTCCCCAATCACTGGGATCACAGGCCTACACCACCACACCAGACTAATAGCTCTTTATTCTTAAAGTGTCTTTTCTTTGAACAAGTTATGCTTACTCCAAGATGCCTTTGAAAAGGGTAGGGCCACTGGAGATCCCTCCATGTATTCCTATAGTCCCAGGGGTAGGGACATGGTAAAATGAGGTCAAAAGAGCACAGTACCTAAGAGAGCAAAACACGCATGGCCTCCAACAGAATAATCCTCACGAAGACCAAGCACTTTATGAAGCAGGTCCCAGACCTAGACTTGTAGGCAGGAGCCTCACACAGGAGATTACCTAACATTAGCAGTCACAGCACAACTTCTGCTTTCCAGAGCCTGTCCAGCATTTCCCACTTCCTATAGATTGGACACTCCAAATCACCTTGTCTTCCTTGCATGGTACTGCCTACCATATTCTTAGATTTACTGAAAATACCCACATGCTACCTGGTGATGCTGAATACTAGGTGATATTTCCAGAGTGTGAGACTCCAAAACACAAAAGCCATTTGATCAATGTTATTAGAACAATAGCATATAAAGTTACTTTATATGCTATTGTTACTGACAGAAAGACAGTCATCAATTTTCCTTAACTCCAAGATGAAGCATGAAACATTTACACAGAATACCACGAACACACACAGTGTGTTAAAACAACACCACAACAAAGGAGGGAATCTGATGGTAATCGAGAGGGAGTTTCACAACCATCTTCCAAAATGGAAACTCTAGCAGGCCATGAAGACCTTCCAAAAGCCTGAGAAATTTTACAGAAATGAAAACTAGTATAGCCAAGTAGGGAATAGTTCCCCTCAGTTCCCCGAGCTCCTGGGAAAAGGCAGATTCAGTGATGTGACCACAAAGGGGCCTGAGTCAGGGAAGGTGGTTCATTAGAGAAGAGACCTCACCCATTCTAGAACCTGGATTCCAGTTGCCAGGTTGAGGCCCAAATGTTTTCAACTAGCATGTGAAGCTAGCTACACAGCCTTCAGAGATGTATTTGAGACAGACACAGAGGTGGCTGACACCAGAATCCTATCACCTGGAGAATTTTTCTTAAAAAGCAGAGATGCCTTCTTCCCACCCTGGGCCAGGCAGCCACCAGCGGGGGAGGGGAAGCTGGGCACCTCTATTTTTAACAGGCTCTTCCAGAAATCTGACATGTGGCCAAGAGTGGGAGTTGCTGAATTAAAGCCATTAGGGGAAACCACTTAGCTCAAGTCAGAGATTAATTTACAAATGTCGCCTTAACAATTAGCCCATTAGAACATATGCATGAGGCCTGCAGGCTTGGAGGATCTGCTAGGAGTACTTGAGAAAGTACAGAGAGGAGAATGAATTAATTCTCTCCTGAGCAGGCTGTGCATAGTCTCCTCAGCTCACAGTAGAACAAATGACCCTAATTAGTGATTCTCCATGTTTGATATAGAATCCAGCTACTGGCAGTAGAGACCCTTCTCAGAAAATGGACAAATTTCTCTACGTGATTCCCAAATTATTGAGGTATAATTTACATATGACAAAATTCACTATATACAGAAAAAATAGATATAAGAATTACCAAGAGAAACAATCTGGGGACATTTTGTTTCTGAGAGATAATACCATCCCATCATCTAAATTATCATGTTTGGTCCGGTGAATTTAACAACTCCAACAAACATTTATTCTTAGGCACAAGGCCCAGAGTGAGAGATAGAGAAATACAAAGGTGA